TCTCTATCCTTGCCTTGATTTTATTTATTTATTTATTTACTTATTTTTTATTTTTTATTCTTTTAAAGATTTTTATTTGTCAGAGAGAGAGAGCACAAGCAGGGGGAGCAGCAGAGGGAGAGGGAGAAGCAGGCTCCTCACTGAGCAAGGAGCCTCATGTGGGACTCGATCCCAGGACCCTGGGATCATGACCCGAGCCAAAGGCGGACGCTTAACGACTGAGCCACCCAGGCATCCCATCTTGCCTTGATTTTAAATATTGATTCACATTCATAAATATTCTTGATAAGTCCCTAGAAATAGAATTGCCGGGACAAAGGGCACATGCAGTTTTAACATTGTACCCTGTTAAGTCCTACTTGTTTGGCACAAGAGTTACTCTCTTACTGAATACTCCTTTTATTCTTCTTCCCCTGGAAATTGGCACAGGTTGGCCACGTCAGCTAAAGAGGAGCACAGAACTGTACAAAAAATGAGAAATAACAATTACTTAATGCAACAGAATAAACTTACAGACTGAGAGAGTCAAGTTCAACATATCAGAAACCCATGGAGACCCTGGCTCCCAGATTATGATATCTTTCTATCTGGAGTCTTACAAGCAAAGGGTTATACAGCTTTACATAAACTTTTCAGAGGGGCACATGCCTTTTTTTTTCTAAGATTTTTATTTATTTATTTGACAGAGAGAGATACAGTGAGAGAAGGGAACACAAACAGAGGGAGTGGGAGAGGGAGAAGCAGGCTTCCCGTGGAGCAGGGAGCCCGATGCGGGGCTCGATCCCAGGACCCTCAGATCATGACCCGAGCCGAAGGCAGACGCTTAATGACTGAGCCACCCAGGCGCCCTGGGGCACATGCATTTGATTTAAAAAATACGTATTTATGCTGATGCATTTAAATAAATATTTTCCAGACATCATACCCTTTCGACCCCTAAATTATTCAGTATGCATTTTTTTTTTAAAGATTTTATTTATTTGAGAGAGAGAATGAGATAGAGCATGAGAGGGCGGAGGGTCAGAGGGAGAAGCAGACTCCCCGCTGAGCAGGGAGCCCGATGCGGGACTCGATCCCGGGACTCCAGGATCATGACCTGAGCCGAAGGCAGTTGCTTAACCAACTGAGCCACCCAGGCGCCCCTCAGTATGCATTTCTAATAATATTTTTCTATGTAACCAAAATAACAGTGATTAATCCTAACAACTTTATTTCTTATTATCATATATCTGGTGCATACTCAGATTTACTCACTTGTCCCTAAAATACCTTTCATAGCAGATTTGTGTTACTCGCAGCTATCCACTGTCACACATTCATACTCACTTAAAAGACTTTTGACTTATTTCCCTTTTACCCTAGGTATATGAAAACATCTCTTGCCCCCAAATTTTGCCAACGTGGGGTATTATTACTATTTTTGCCAGTCTGTTCTATCCTTTATTTTAAACTTGGCATTGTAACACAGGTTTATTTCTTGGTAGAGAATCTTCAGAAACCTCATGTAAACGTGGGTAGGTAACGTTCCATCGAGAAGGCCCGGTGCACTGTCCGTCCTAGGGTCTCTGGGGCCGTCCCTCAGCGGTTTAGCTCTTCCCGCCTCCGTTGGACAAAGCAGGTGCGCTGGAACCGATGCTTGCTGCCTTGCCTTATGAGTTCACGTGTCTCTCCTTCCTCTGCATCAGAATCCACCTCATTGTCTGGAGATCACGCCACCATCTTCAGAAAAGCTGGTCTCGGTGATGCGGTTAAGTGACCTCTCTACAGAAGATGATGACTCGGGTCACTGTAAAATGAACCGTTATGATAAGAAGATTGACAGTCTAATGAACGCGGTTGGTTGTCTCAAGTCTGAGGTGAGGGAGGTGGGGGCTGGAGTAGCTAGGGCCCTGAGGATGTGACAGACCACCCAGGTCGGTTCCTGGTGGCCTGCTTCCTTGGGGCTGTCCGCCTGTGGGCCTCCCGCCCTTCTCAGCACGCTGCCCAGGGCTTCAGATGCCTCTGAGGAGGTAGCCCCGGGGCACCGAGCACTTAGCCCGGGGCCTGGCTCTGACCCCACCTGGTGCTCTGTATGGACGCCCTGGTTTGACTTGTCACAGCAGTAGATGAAGCCAGTGGGGGTATCGCCCCCATTTTGGAGATGACGTGACTGTGACACTGGGACCTCTGTTCCCCATTTTTACACAGCAGTTTGGAAAGAGAACAAAGCCCCAAGGAGGTGAAGGAAGTTTGTCGTCAGTTGGTAGGCTCTGTCTTTGGGCAAGATCAAGACCCAGGTCTTGACAGCTGACATGGCCTGTGTCTTTAATCCCCTGCCCTGCATTTGGGGCTCATGGGCCCACCTGGAGAACCTGGGGCTGGCTGCCTGGCAACAGCCCTTTCTCCAAAGCCCGCGGAGCATGGGCCTTTTTGTGACACCTCCCCTGTGGTGTGCCAGTGAACCACGGTCTGTATCCTGGCTCTGTCCCCAACCAGCAAGTCGGTCACTTGGGCTCTCTCTGTACTCGGAACTCAGTAACAAGGAAATGAGATGAACAGTGTCTGTCCCTCATCTCTGTGCTGATCAACTGAGATTGTGCCCAGCAGGACCTAAGTACCTATGTGTCTGTCACTCGGAGGTGCCCTTAACTGGCCCAAAGCAACGGGCCTAGCAATGTGGCAGAGAAGGAGCCCCCCCTCAGCGGCCCCTGCCCGCATGCTCCCGCACAGGTCAAGATGCAGAAGGGTGAGCGCCAGATGGCCAAGAGGTTCCTGGAGGAGCGCAAGGAAGAGCTGGAGGAGGTGGCCCACGAGCTGGCCGAGACCGAGCATGAGAACACGGTGCTGAGACACAACATTGAGCGCATCAAGGAGGAGAAGGACTTCACCGTGTAAGGCGGCCCCGCCCCGCAGTGTGCTCCTCCCGCCCGGCCGCCGCAGGCCCTGGGAACGGCAAGCGACGGAGGCAGGCCCGGGCGCCGTCCCCGGGTCACAGTGCACCCAGGCTTACGGCTGGTCACCAGCCACAGGCTAGTTACTGGTTCACGCTGTGAGGGAGGACAAGGACCCCACAGGGTGCAGTGGGGGCAGGGAAGCTTTTCTGGAACAAGCGACGTTTAAGGAGAGCCCTGCAGGGTGGTTAGAAGATAGGCAGTAGGTGCCGGGGAAGAAGGCGTGTGGGATCACGAGTGAAAGCCCCAAGGGAGGAGTTTGCGACTGGGAATTGGAAAGTGGGCCATAGTGAGGAGACGAGTGGGCAGAGGGCAGGGGTGCCATGGAGGTTGGCAGGGGCCATTCTTAGCAGTCGCTTTGAGGAGTTTGCATTGAGGGGCCACGGAAGGGTTTTCAAAGCAGGGAGTGGTGGGGCCAGACGTGGCTCCAGGGTGAAGAATGCATGGGACGGCTCAAAAGCGGATCTGAAGGTGGTGGTTACGAGACTGTGGTGAAGGCTGGGGACAGAGGTGATGCTAAGTGGCTGAGAGGCAAGCAGGGCCACGGCTGGCATAATGTCAGCTGAGATGAAGGCCCTGCTCTGGTGCCCAGGTGCCCTTCCAGGAGCCCTCCCTCCCCCTCCCCCACTGTTCCCTGACCAGGAGATGAGCCTCGCAGGGCATTGTGAGGCGAGCCTCAGAGCTCTGAGCGGGCCGGGGCCTGGGAGGGCTCACAGAGCACTATTCTCTCTGGCCCCAGGCTTCAGAAGAAACACCTCCAGCAGGAGAAGGAGTGCCTCATGTCCAAGCTGGTAGAAGCTGAAATGGATGGGGCGGCTGCTGCCAAGCAAGTCATGGCCTTGAAGGATACTATCGGGAAGCTGAAGACGGTAGGTGGCAGGCAGAACCACCCAGCCCTGGGACTGGGCCCAGATGCAGGCAAGTTGCAAGCTAGGGAGGGGTCTTTACGCAGTCATCAGGCTGACTTTATGACATCTCCAGGCCAGGGGAGGGCACACTTAACTCCTCAGCCCCCACCCGCACTCTCACTTCCAGGGCCTGATCCTCGAGGATGACCTCTGGTGGCCCGGGTCTCTGAGGAGACCTCATCATGGGTCTCCTGGGATCACAGTGAGTCAAGGCCTAAGTCTGATTCCTGCAAGTGTCAGCCACAGTTTGATTCCTGCGAGTTATCAGCCACCAGGTGTCGTCCTCTTCCTCTTCCTCCAGGAAGCCTGCCCTAACTGCACTTGCCTACCCTGAGCTCCCCAGCCCTTCTCCCCACTTGTTGCTCTCAGCTGACTCAGCTCCTGCCCCCGTCCTTCCAGGTTCATCTCCTCTGGGAAGCCTGCCTTTGACCCCTGTGGTCCTGTACACAGCCAAGGGCTTCTTATTGGGCCTCCCGGCACCAGCACCTCTTAAGAGGGGCCTGCCTCTGCCGCCTCCTCCCTTCTCCCCGTGTACCTTGTAAGACTGCCTGCTGTCTTCCAGGAGAAACAAATGACCTGCACGGACATCAACACCCTAACGAGGCAGAAGGAACTTCTCCTGCAGAAGCTGAGCACATTTGAAGAGACCAACCGCACCCTCCGAGACCTGCTGAGGGAACAGCACTGTAAAGAGGTGAGCTCCTGGCCTCTGCAGGCCCATCTGCTCTGAGCCTCAGTTCCTCGTCTGTGACAAAAAGGTACTCTCCGTGCCCGACCTGAGAGGGCCATAGAAAGATGTGACCAGTGTTCCCGTGAGGTGCTGGTCACCCGGCAGAGGGTGCTGCCTTCATTGTTGAAGCTGGGGCTGGTGGCGCGGGAAGGAGCTGAGGCATCAGGGGGAGGCCCGGCCCTTGGTTAAACAGAGGATGGCTCAGGGCTGGCAGACGCCAACTGTAGGGTAGCGCTCTGTTTTCTTAAAAGATGGGTTCCTAATGATGTTCTGTATTAGCAAATGATTCTGGAAAGACCAACGGTATAAATAGCTGTCTCCCTGTTGGGCTCAAACCAGAGACCATAGTATGGTGTTTTGTTTTTTGTTTTTTTAGCATTGTCAACTTCTTGTTTGGATTTTTAAAAAATTAGCATTTAATATTTTTATTTAATTGCTTCTCGGCTTTTTGGCTAAATTCAAGTGTAGTATCTGTTCTTGTCAGTTTAATATTTTTATTCATTTAATGTTTTTTAAAAGCATTTATTTATTTATTTATTAGAGAGAGGGAGAGCCCAGACGGAGAGGGAGAAGCAGACTCCCCACTGAGCAGGGAGCCCAACGCAGGGCTCGATCCCAGGACCCTGAGATCATGACCTGAGCTGAAGGCAGACGCTTAACTGACTGAGCCACCCAGGCGCCCCTATTTAATTTTTTTTTAAGTGGGCTCCACACCTGACGTGGGGCTCGAACTCAAAACGATCAAGAGTCACATGCTCTACCAATGGAGCCAGCCAAGCGCCCCCAGAAATTAGTATTTAAATAAGTAGTATAAAACTGTGTGCGCCCCAGCCAGCTTTCCAAACAAAATCTTATCCAGGTAGTTAAATCCCTCTTGTGTCTCCTTTGGGGATAAGCTTATCAGAGGGATCCTTTATCTTCAATCTGATCATCTTTATCACTTACGTATACATGACATAATACAAACTTTACGTAAATGATATGGTTCCATGCGTATTATTCTGAGTTTTCTTTTTTCTTTTCTTTTTTTTTTTTTTAAGATTTTATTTATTTATTTGACAGAGAGAGACACAGCGAGAGAGGGAACACAAGCAGGGGGAGTGGGAGAGGGAGAAGCAGGCTCCCCGCAGAGCAGGGAGCCCGATGCGGGACTCGATCCCAGGACCCTGGGATCATGACCTGAGCTGAAGGCAGTTGCTTAACCAACTGAGCCACCCAGGCGCCCCTGAGTTTTCTTTTTTCACTCAATATATTTTTTTCAAAGATTTATTTGAGAGGAAGAGAGAGAGGGAGAGAGCAAGCAGGGGGAGGGACAGACGGAGAGGGAGAGAGAATCCCAAGCAGACTCCCTGTTGAGCAGGGCCCTACGCGGAGCTCGATCTCAGGACCCTGAGATCATGACCTGAGCCAAAACCAAGAATCAGACGCTTAACTGACAGAGTCACCCAGGCGCCCCCACTCAGTATTTTTGAGATTCATCCACTTTTATCCCTGAGGACTAAGGTAGTTAATTTTCACCGCTATGTTGCATTTTAATGACTACCACAATGACTACCTTTCTTCTGTTGATGGAAACATATTTTCAGTTTGCTTTTACAAGCTGTGTTATTTTGGGTCTTCATGTACACTATCCTGGTATACCCAAGAGTTTCTAGAATATATTTCTATCAGTTTTATTAGTTACAGCTAAATTACTCTCTTAAAATCATTAATACCTGTTTAATGTCTGGCTCAGTGTTCTTGGGTGGGCAATTTTTAACCTCTCTCGGTCTTAGTTTCCCACCTGTAAAATGGGAATAGCATCTTCCATATGGCATCATGTGAGGACATGGATGAGGAGGGAGTGTCATACTGCTTAGCACCCAGTAGGTGTTTGGTGTGTGGTAGGTGGTAGGTGCTGCTGCTGTTTGTCCTGGGACCGTGGCCCCCCAAAACCTCTTCTACCCAGTTTTTTCCATTTTGACCCCTTAGCTTCTACTGTCCTGGAATCCTAGAATCTCCCATTGGAGATGAAGGGTCAGCCAATTTGGACTCCCACCCACAGCAGGTGCTCCACGTTTGGTCCAGGTTCTCATTTCCTCCTGCCCATGTGGCACTTGGGACGGGGCCCCTCACCTCGGTGCTTGCTAGGGACACTCAGTGGAGTCAGTTGGCTTAGGGCCCAGCTCTGCCATTTCCAGCTCTGTGATCTTGCGCAGCTCACCTCACTTCTCCCAGCCTCGATCTCCTCTTAAAAATTGGGGTGGTGGTAGTACATGGCTCCTTAGAATGGGGGATTTGGTGCGACTGTGTTAATTTGTGTAGTGTCCCCTTGGAAGCTCAGAAGACATGGCATTAAAGGGCAGTGGGAGCCCCATCAGGCCTAAGCTTTCATCCTGTGTTTGCCTCCCTGTTGCTGGAGAAACCACAATGCTGGCTTCTCACCGCTCCCTGTCTTGTCCTGGCTTGTGAAGGGAACCTGTGAGCCTGAGAGGGAAAGGGAGGGCGAGCCCCCCTCTAGGGAAGAATACAGAAGGTTCACAGACTCAGCCTGTTGGGAAGATGGGCAAGGGGAGCAGCAGTTGGGGGAAGAGGGAACTCAATGGCTGATAAACATATGAGTAGTTAGAAAAATGCAAGCTAAAACAGCAGGAGTCTTGCTGGCAAAGACTGGCCTGCCGCCCAGGGCCCTCCTGTTCTGCCTGTGGCCATGCACATCCACGCAGGCATTTTGTAGGTCATTTCAGCTCACAAACCTGGCCCAGTCATTCCTCCTCTTGGTATCAACCCTATAAAGACACTTACTCGGGCCCAGCCCAGCACCGTACATTGCTACAATGTTTGCAGTTGTGCAACCTGATGATGAACAGCCCCATTGCCCAGAGGCTATGCATGGGGAGAGGTTAAAAATGTAGAGTCATGCTGGAGAAAAGGCAGATTAGTGGTTGCTGGGGGCTGGGGGAGGGGGACAAAGAGATTACTTCTAACAGGTACAGGCTTTCCTGTGGGATGATGAAAATGTTCTGGAATTAGCGAGTAGTGATGGTTGCAGAACATTGTGAACGTACTATATGCCACTGAATTTTACACTTAAAAAATGGTAAAAGTGGCAAGGTTTATGTTTTGTTTTCTAAGATTTTATTTATTTGAGAGAGAACGTGCAAGCACAAGTTGCGGAGGGGGAAGGGCAGAGGGAGAGGCAGACTCCCTGCTGTGCAGGGAGCCCAATGTGGGGCTCAATCCCAGGAACCTGAGCCGAAGGCAGAAGCTTAACGACTGAGCCACCCAGGCGCCCCTGGCAAGGTTTATGTTATGAATGTTTAACCACAATTAAATTAATAATGCAATATGCCAAAAACCATTGAGTTGTGCATTTTAAATGGGTGATTTGTGATGGTATCTGAATTTTCATCTCAATAAAGGTTTGGGTTTTTTTTTTGGTTTTATTTATTTTTTTGTCAGAGAGAGAGAGAGAGAGAACAAGCAGGGGGAGCAGCTGGCAGAGGGAAAAGCAGGCTCCCTGCCGAGCAGGGAGCCCGATGCAGGGCTCGATCCCAGGACTCCGGGACCATGACCCGAGCCGAAGGCAGCCGCTTAACGACTGAGCCACCCAGGCATCCCTGTTTGTTTGTTTTTATTATTTATTTATTTATTTATTTATTAAAGATTTTATTTATTTATTTGAGAGAGAGAATGAGACAGAGAGAGAGAGCATGAGATGGAGGAGGATCAGAGGGAGAAGCAGACTCCCTGCTGAGCAGGGAGCCTGATGCGGGACTCGATGCCAGGACTCCAGGATCATGACCTGAGCCGAAGGCAGTCAGTCGCTTAACCAACTGAGCCACCCAGGCGCCCCCTGTTTGTTTGTTTTTAAAGATTTTATTTATTTATTTGACAGAGACACAATGAGAGAGAGGGAACACAAGCAGGGGGAGAGGCGGAGAGGGAGAAGCAGGCTTCCTGCTGAGCAGGGAGCCCGATGCTGGGCTTGATCCTAGGGCCCTGGGATCATGACCTGAGCCGAAGGCAGACGCTTAGTGACTGAGCCACCCAGGTGCCCCGGTTTGTTTGTTTGTTTTTGTTTTTTAAAGATTTTATTCATTCATTCACTTATTTGTTTTTTAAGATTTTATTTATTTGACAGAAGAGATAGCGAGACCAGGAACACAAGCAGGGGGAGTGGGAGTGGGAGAGGGAGAAGCAGGCTTCCTGCCGAGCAGGGAGCCCAATGCGAGGCTTGATCCCAGGACCCTGGGACCATGACCCAAGCTGAAGGGAGACGCTTAACGACTGAGCTACCCAGGCACCCCGAGGTTTTTTTAAATTTTTGAGTAATCTCAAGAGTCATTCACTCCACCCCCTGAGCCAGCCAGGTGCTTCTCAATTAAGCTGTTTTTAAAAAATCAAGTAATCCGGGGGTGCCTGGGTGGCTTGGTCGGTTAAGCATCCGCCTTCGGCTCAGGTCAGGGTCCCGGGGTCCTGGGATCGAGCCCTGCATTGGGCTCCCTGGTCAGCGGAGAGCCTGCTTCTCTGTCTCCCACTGCCTGCTGCTCTGCCTACTTGTCCTCTCTATCTCTCTGTCAAATAAATAAAATCTTTAAAAAAAAAAAAACTTAAGAAAAAAATCAAGTCTTTGGGGCGCCTGGGTGGCTTAGTCGATTGAACATCTGCCTTTAGCATGGTCCTGACCAAGCCCTGCGTCAGGCTCCCCACTCAGCGGGGAGTCTGCTTCTCCCTCTGCCCTTCACCCTGCTTGTGCTCGTTCTTTCTCACAAATAAATAAATAAAATCTTAAAAAAAAAAATTTAAAAATCAAGTAGTAGCACAAAAACATAATATGTTAACCGTTTTGGTAAAACCACCCATAGATCCTTCCCCCCGCCCCCAGGCCCCAAAAGATACTGTTTCTCTAGGTGTAGCTATATATAAATGCATAGAGAAAGGGTGGGCAGGACATTCATCAAACTAAACAGTGGAATGGGGTTTGGAGGTGGATTGAGGGGACTTTAGCATTACTGGTTCACTGAATATTTTATAATGAGATTGCAATTTATTTATGACTCTTGTAATTGGAAATACAAATTTTGGAAAAGGAAGAGAATCCAGAAGGGATGTAGACATCTGGGTTCATTGCTTAACCACTTGGCTCTCGCTGTGCCTTTCCTTGAAGGATTCAGAAAAGCTGATGGAGCAACAAGGAGCACTACTCAAACGGCTGGCGGAGGCGGACTCAGAGAAAGCGGTAACACAGCGCCCCCTGCCGGCTCTAGTGGTTTACGGGCGACAGTACACAGAGCAGCTGGCCCAGTGCCGCCGCGCCGGCGCCTCGCTCTGACGTTTGTTTGGGTCTTAATATCATGATCTGTAAGATGGGCCGATGTCCCCTATCCTGCCTGCTCCACTGGGTTTGTCTAGTTGATCACTTGGGAGCTTGAACACAACATGAGGGATATTGCCGCTGCTGCTGGGTTTATTAACTATCAGAGGCTGTTACTTGAATTGCCTTATTTGTATTATGGATTAAAAGCCATCAAAAGGTTCAGACTTTTTACTCAGCAATTCCAGTTCTAGGAATCTCTCCCAAGGCAGCACACTCCAAAGTCTGGTTCATGGAACCCTAAGTTCCTCACGATGTGAATG